TTTCTCATACAAAGCCCCCCAGCTTTGGAATAATCTTCCTGTTAATGTTCAGGACTCAGACACAGCCTCAGTGTTTAAGTCTAGGCTAAAAACTTACTTGTATAGTCAAGCCTTTGGTCATTAGTTTTCCCTGTTAGTTCTATACCTGCCAGAGTCTCTGCTGCTCTGCTAACACTTTAATCTGTAATCAGTCACCCATTACAGAACTGACACCCATTACAGAACTGACTCTCTGTGTGTTTTTCCTTTCTTTTTTTCCTTTGCCGAGTTGAACAGCTGCCCATCTTGTGCATTCTGATGCTGCTGCCTCTCTGCCTTGATCCCTCTGGACCGGCTTGACCACCATTGAGCTTCTTGTTGTACAACGCCGTGCAAACCTCACCCTCACAATCCCGACCCCACTGATGCTGCTGTTGCATAAACTAAACTAATCAAATTAATCATTTGAACTAATCAATCATTTAAACTAATCAAATTAATCAATCACCCATTACAGAACTGACTCTCTGTGTGTTTTTCCTTTCTTTCTTTCTTTTGCCGAGTTGAACAGCTGCCCATCCTGTGCGTCTTATGCTGCTGCCTCTTCTGCCTTGATTGGGTGCCACTGCTCGCCAGCCCACTGGACTGGCTTGACCACCATCAAGCTTCATGCTGTACTACACCATGCAAACCTCACCCTCACAACCTGACCCCACTGGTGCTGATGCTGCTGCCGCTGCTGCTCCATGAACTAAACTAATCAAATTAATCATTGCTCCACCTGTTTTCCCTGTTTTTGTACTAACAATGTTTACTATCCGATGTCGACCAGAGGAGGATGGGTTCCCCTTCTGAGTCTTGGTTCCTCTGAAGGTTTCTTCCTGTTTCTAGGGAGTTTTCCCTTGCCACTGTCGCCACTTGCTTGCTCATGGGGACTTGGACTGGATTTCTTTCTGTAATGCTGATTTCCTTGTAAAGTTGCTTCGTGACAACACCTCTTGTAAAAAGCGCTATATAAATAAACTTTACTTACTTACTACTACTACTACCTTGCAGTGGGCAGCCACCTTTACAATGACTACTTTGCGAGGAAGGTGGAGGTCGCCCTCTAGCTTCTGGAAAAGGTTCTTATGCTTTATTGTTGTCCCTGCAACTTTATTATATCCCCTTATTTCCTAAAAAGATGATCATAAATCAAGTTGAACACATAGGCACTGTCAGGGTAGATGTTTATATTCTGGCCTGAAGCCCATGTGAGTGCTTCTGTGACAGATAGAGGTTCAACCTTTTGCACTTTACCATTAGAAATTTTACCTGAGGGTCCTAGTTGTGGCTTATCTTTTCTTATCTGTCCATAGTCTGTGATGACCACAACCCAACCTGTGTAGCACTTGCCATTCAAACATTGACTTGAGCGATTACAGAATTAGTTATAAGCATCTTTGAAAGGTTTTGCAGATGCACAGACTTTTTTTTCCCAATTGCTCAGTTCATTCTTGACAAGATTGTGGATCTCCCTGTTCTTCCAAAAATGCTGCAGGGTTTGGTCAAAGATCTCTGAATGAGTGGCTTGTGTGAATGAAGCCATCTTGAAAAGAACATGAATTTTTGTTGGCTTCCACAGTCCATGAAGAACAATCGACAATTTGAAGACACTGAGGTTGGTTCTTTATTACTACTGGGATTGGGGTTGATTAGTAACCCTCATTTCGAGGTTTTGCTGGGTCTCTGAATTGTGCAACAATGGCAACATAGCTTACCCACTGAACACCACAAAGGGAAGGGTCTTTAGGCCCAATTCGCACATACTGCGCCTGCGTGGCGTGAGCGACATGGGAGGTTTGTTTTTCATATTGGCGAAAGTGTGAGAGGTCTTCGTGATGGGAGTGAAGTAGGGAGACAGAGCTTTTGCAGTGCTGGACTCAGTATCAGTATCATTCTAGCCAGCTTTGGGTGCCTCACCTCATAATGGCTCCTCCAGACCATACTCTTTGCAGAGGGGGGTCTTATCCATGAGAGCAATATCTTTAAGGTGACTCACATCATTTAAATAAATGTTAATGAAATAAATATGTAAATAATAAGCTCTCTTCTGCTGCATGGCCTGTAATGCAACACCGCTGATCCTCCTTGCAGACAACGTAGAATCGCCAATAGGCATGTAGACTTGTCCTTGACCTGATGTCCTCACTGTCCTCAGGTTGAACTTCTGCAATCTACTTCTGCATTTTCTGTCTCTGAAGTGTGTGTGTGTGTGTGTGTGTATGTGTGTGTTTGGCATATGTGCTTGTCCCATTCTGCAACTATCAGATACTGATAACCCGTTACATGCACACCATTTCCGACTGAACCCTTCTAGTTCTGCTTTTATGATTGACCAATTTGGAACTTATATGAAGTAAACAAATTTGACACATAAATAACAGAAGATCTTATCATCTAACATTAAACACTGATAATACATATTCAAGAGAATAAATGAAAACAATTGATGAAGGGAATCAAAGAATAATACATTCCAATTAATGATGGCATATTAAAAGGTAAAACTGAACAACAATGAATCTAATGATTTATTGTTGCTTGGTTTTG